TGAATATGATGGCCCTCTTGGCAATTTGAATATGATGGCCCTATTGGCAATTTGAATATGATGGCCCTCTTGGCGGTTTGAATATGAAATGGCTCTGTTGGCGATTTTGAATATAAATACCCCTCTTGGTGGTTTGAATATGATGGCCCTCTTGGCAATTTGAATATGATTTTGACTATGAACGTCGTCTTTCATCAATATTTGATATGATGATAGGTACTTTTTTTTATCATAACATCATTTCCATCGGTATGTCGCAACCTTAAGCAGTAGATACTATTCTTTAATCTGTCAAATACCTCTTTGATAAAATGAAGATGTTACACTCACTAATTGATATTCGCTGGATATGTTCTCCTGAACTAGTTGGTTGATAAATATAGCTCCTTTGATGATATTATTATACCCTGCATCCACAAAAACATGTTAGTTTTGGAATACTGATATGTGTTGAAGTCGCCTTGCTCCTGGTTTCGTTATCTCTGGAACTTTGTCTGGTAGATCCAATGAATCGCAGTAGACAAAAGACAAGATCATATTTAAATTAAAACATTTGCTAGGTATGAAGTTTAAAAAAAAATAGTTTTAAAGAAAATCTCTACCAATTAACTGTCACGACATGCATGACACGAACAAAACCCTTTGTCTCAGATTTTGACATGATAGGTAGCTTGTTGGCAACTTAAAGACCATTAAGAACACGTCAATTTGAGGAAATTGAAGTTGACTTCGAAGGTCCAAGTATCCTTGATGGAATTTTTGAGGTCCTTCTCAAAAATTCTGTCCCAATTAGATGCTTCAAAAATAAATCTGATGATGATCACGGGAGTCTTGAATTTGAGATCTCCTCAAAATTATTCCCCAGTTGCACATTTCGATATGATCCTTGACTTTTGTTGTAGGAAATGACTCTTCTTGTAGAATTTTTGAGGTCCTCTCAAAAATTTTGTCCCAGTTTCCATTATAAGGGGAAATGGAAATCTTATTGGGAATATGACCGAACCCTTGTGGTGCCTACGTATCCCGTTCAGGCAGGAATCATGTCAAACGTAGTTCCCATCTCGAGAATTGACAAAAATAAAAAAATTGATAAGGAAACGACCGAGGCCGACATAGGCCGCCTACGTATCTCATTCGCGAGAATTCAGGTCGAACATAGTTCAAGTACAAGGGGAATGTTTCAAAACATAAATGCAATAATGATTACAAACAAATTGCAATTACAAGGAAATAAAGGAAAGAAATAGCATCCTTCAAATGTAGTATCTCTTGACGGCATCTGAATTGATAGCTTTGTGCCACACCCGACCGTCCATCTCTGCTAGAACCAAAGCTCCTCTTGGTAGTACTTTGTGGACGACATACGGTCCTTGCCAGTTAGGTGCGAATTTCCCTTTATATTCCTCTTGATGAGGGAAAATGCGTTTCAACGCCAATTGGCCTACCTCAAATGTTCGAACTCTTACTTTCTTGTTGAAAGCGCGAGTCATTTTCTGTTGATACAATTGGCCATGACAAACAACACTCATTCTTTTCTCATCAATCAATGCCAATTGCTCATATCGGTCACGAACCCATTCGGCATCGCTCAATCCAGCTTCCTGAATAATCCTTAAAGATGGTATCTCAACTTCAGCTGGTATCACTGCTTCTGTTCCGTATACCAATAGGTAAGGAGTTGCTCCAGCTGAGGTTCGGATTGTGGTGCGGTAACCTAGCAAAGCATAAGGCAAATTTTCATGCCAACATTTGTAGTTGTCAATCATCTTTCTCAGTTATCCTCTTGATGTTCTTATTAGCAGCTTCCACAACTCCATTCATCTGAGGACGATATGCAGTTGAATTGCAGTGGGTAATTTTGAATTGTTCACATATCTCTTTCATCAAGTGACTATTCAAATTTGCTCCATTGTCTATGATGATAGACTCTGGAACTCCAGAACGACATATCAAATTGTTGCAAACAAAATCGGCCACAACTTTCTTTGTCACAGCTTTGTAGGAAGCAGCTTCCACCCACTTTGTGAAATAATCAATGGTGACCAAAATGAACCTATGACCATTGGAGGCAGCAGGCTTAATCGGTCCAATAACATCCATGCCCCAGGCTGCAAATGGCCAAGGGGAACTCATCACATTGAGCTCGTGGGGTGGTACTTTGATCAGATCTCCATGTACCTGGCATTTATGAAATGTTTGGACAAATCGTCTACAATCACTTTCCATAGTCATCCAAAAGTATCCCTCCCTTAGGATTTTCTTTGCTAACGTAAACCCATTCATGTGAGTCCCACACACTCCAGCATGCACTTCTTCAAGCAATCTTGTGGCTTCTGCAGCATCCACACATCTCGGTAATTCCAGATCGGGTGTACTCTTATAAAGAACCTCTCCATTCAAAAAGAAGTTGTTTGCCATTCTTCGAATTGTTTTCTTCTGAATACTTGTTGCTTTTTTTTGGATATTCGCCAGCTTCTAAGTACTTTTTCACATCAATATACCATGGATTCCCATCCCATTCCGCTTCCATATGTGAACAATGTGTTGGTTGTTCTTTTAAACCTATCTCAAGTGGATCGATATAACTCTTTTGTAGGTGCTGTATCATGGACGATATGGTTGCGAGGGCATTGGCAAGATCGTTCTGTATTCTCGGTATGTGTTTGAACTCGGTCTTCCTAAATCTTTTGCATAACCTCCGTACCAATTGTACGTAAGGTAAGATTTTAGGATTCTTCACGGCCTACTCTCCTTGAACTTGGTGAATCAACAAATCTGAATCACCAATTATCAGCAATTATTGAACACTCATGTCAAGAGCCATTCTGATGCCAAGAATATAAGCTTTGTATTCAGCCATGTTATTAGTGCATTGAAATCTAAGATTTGTTGTTGCTGGATAATGTTGCCCCGATTCAGATATCAACACTGCTCCAATTCCTGATCCTATAGAGTTTACTGCTCCATCAAAGAACATTCTCCACCCAGGATGTGTGTCACGCCCTAAACTCGAGGGGCGCAACTGGATCCTAATGTCAAAACTCAGGCCTGAGCCGACCTTTCTAAACCATTTGCTACTAGCGCATGGCAACCACACACAATCAAGAAAGCAAACAAGTATATCTCGGCTTAAAACTAAGCCCTCGACCGGCAAGGCCCCTGTCAACTGATCTATAAAAGAAACATCTACTCCTAGGAGATCATATAAATAAATAGCCAACTAGCACAGAAGTCCTGATTGGGCTGTCGAGGCCACCATGATATCTATACCAAAACTAAAAGCAGGTATATATCAATATAATACATCAAACATCTCACAAGCTTCAGCAAACCAACAACATAGGCCAGTATAGCCATAACGTAGCTATACACCCCACACACTAGTCTCCAAGCCTCTAAGAGTAGTAAAGATTAGCGGGACAGGGCCCCAGCCTACCCATAAAGATATATACAAAAAAAGGTAACAAACCTCCCAACTCTGGAAGCTCCGGGGGAAAGGGGC